AGTGGTTACCTGCTCTGAAGGTTATTTTCATTTTAAAAATCCTGCACTCAGCTTTGCTTTCTCCAATATCATTGAAATGCAGCCAGATGCTGCTTCTTTTTTCGGTTTTCGCTCATTTCTTGACTTTTTCCGACATGCTTGCATTTAAATCCGGCTCCCCGTAGCTGGCCTGTACCACTACACCTGCTGTCTTTGGAGCGCCTTTTCACAACCACACGTTTCAATTATAACTTGCGAAATTAAGATATTGTTTTACTAAAAGATCACTGCTTCGTGTCGTAAAACCTGACAATCAGTAGGACTGCACGATATGAGGAATATATAAACGATAACGCTGTTTAATATCCCGGCTGTAACGATAGTAAACAGATATTAAACCGTACACAGGTCTGCCATTCTACTGTATTTCGTTTTTGTTTTAACATTACATTTAACTGAAGCCTTTACCCAAAGCAACTTACATACACTTCAATATATATTAGACGTGCCTACAGGAACAATTTAGGGATAAGCATTTTAACCAGGGAGACACTTTACAGGGGCTGGGATTGAACAACTGACCCTGTGATTGGAAGTCACCCATTAAGCCTCAGATGCCAAATGTCTTATTTCCAACATTATTTCACTGAACCAAACACGAAACAAAGAATCATACGTTTGAAAGTGTAGCTTTCTATAGGTTGACTTTGCAACCATGATTAAATAATAAATAAAACATTGTGCAGCCCAAAATCCACCAACTACATTCAAATTGAGCTGTTACTACTGACAATGTGCCAAGTTTAACAAAAACACAAAACACTTCAAATACAAATTCATTGTTTTGTATTTTTTTATAGTTAAAAATATCTATCACATTTCTGTTTTGTAAAGAGTAATTTGATCATCATTTAGTGTCTTTAATTGTAGTAGTTGTAGATGCTTTTGTTTCTGAAGGCCTAGGTAATTGGGTATTAATTGGTAGACAGGTGGAGGAGTAGTTTGCTCATGGCAAAAAGGCAAGAGAAAACGTTAAAGCCAATGCTCCTGTTTTGGTTGAAACCTAAGAAAATAAACGGAACAAAATAAATGTGTGCCTGGTCAATGGACTTTATTCGGCATTTGATTTGGATTTGTTTTTTGTTGTGAGGACATATATCCGCTACAATACCTGATCTGGTCAGTCTGCACGATGCCCTCTTTGTGGCCCTCCAGACGGGCGGCCAGGCGCTCCTTATCCAAACGCACTCGCTCTTCATCCTGAAGAGAAAGCGTTGTACACACTGTTAGCAAACTAAAGAATAAAACAGGATGAATAATGTTATATCTATGAACCATTTTTTTTTGCAACTTCAACAAGAATGCATTTTATTCACTACAAAACATACACACTGACGAATTTCTTTTGGGTTAATGTATAATGACTGAACTAAATATTTAATAAGCAAAATCATCTAATGCTAAATATTTTAAGACATGTTCATTAATTCTCTTAAATCCTAAATGTAACCGACATTTTAGATAAAATAGTCATGTTCTTTTATATGGTTGCAAATATTTTGGTCTCATTTAAGGACAAAAGCTCCCTGACATTTATTTCGATACAGGAACTTATAGATTTTTTCTGATACCAATAAACAATTACATTGTTACCCCCTTTAGAATTACATTATTTATGTACTGCAACCACTCGAGGAATAGCTCCATAATTTGAGTACTCAAAGCCATGTTAGTGGAGGATATTTCATGTCAGCTTACCTCAATCCTTGGTTTTTTGGTTTCCAAAGATACCTCATCAGCCGCTCGTTTGACTAAAAAAAAGTAGAACAGTTATTTCGCTGCAGAGTCAATTCAGTTACCAACTTGTAATGGACTAAGACACTACCACCTCATATATGTGACCTGCTCTATCGAAATCAGTCGCATTGACCCCAAGACACATTTTGAGTTGTATACACTGCTGGAAAGAGGAGATTCCTAGCTTTCTAATGATATCAGGATTGTTGTTGTACTCCAAATATTAAGCAAAATATGTCACATTATATAATGACTGTTAGAGTCATCATTTTGAGAAAAAGGCCTTCAAAGTTTCCTCTTCTCTGGAATCCATCGATCTGATTGGATTACTGGTCTGGGGGAAGCTCGCGAGTTAGTGTGTATACGTGTGTGTGTGTGTGTGTGTGTATGTATGTTTGTGTATCTTTGCGTTTGTGTGTATTGCGTTTGTTTCTCGAGGAAAACACTCACGAGAAACACTGGCTGTTGTTATGCCTGTTGTGACGTTAAGTTACTCCGTTCTCCGCTTGTAATTATGCCGTTACAAGCTTCAAAGTTGTATTTATCATCTGAATTTGCTGAAACAAGTTTAATATTCTGAAAGCCAAGACTTTGTTTATTTGAAATCAGATGAAAACAAGCTGTAACGGACCCTGCCGTGTTATCTATGATTACTATACGCCTTACATTCATAATTTCAGGGAGGGAGGGGGAGCAGCGCTGCGGAAGAGCAGATTGCGAGTGAGAGCTGTCTTCTTCCATTTACAAGCTTCAAAAATATATTTATCGCGTGATTTTGGAAATAAAAGTTTCATATTCTGAAAGCCAAGACTTTGTTTATTTTATATCAAACAAAACACCCAAATGCCGAAAAACAATTTTTTTTACGCAAATCCACGTTTATTTTTAAATGAGCCGTTGCGACTTCCGACTGATTTCGATAGAGTTCACATAGGGTCACATATAAGCAGTGTTGGGACTAACACGTTACAAAGAATGTTTTAGTTAAATGTAAGTTATATCTTGGCGGGTCAAAGATCCTATCTACTGCACAAAACAGCAATTCAAATCTGTTGAAACATCTGCAGAAACAACATGCTGGGACGAAGCTAGTAGCTAAGACCACAGACCCAGACTCATCCGAAGCCACTCCACCTCCACCTAAGCAACAGCGG